AAAATGGTACCCTTAGTCATCAAATGAAGCTTGCTGGCTGCCTGAGTTTGATATGAAACATTTTACTTGCTTTATCAGAAAAATCTAAATAATATCAATTATAGACGATTGAGATTAATGATCTACTGAACAATGTGTTTGAGCAATGTTTTACATATTATGCTCTATTTTTTTATCTAGACCTTTTAATTTCATAAATAGTACCATAAGAGAAGTGTTCTTATTTCTACTTTTTAAATGAAGTCCAAAGAAAGTAATCTCTGTCTTGTTGGAAGAATAATGTAAATAGTTCTTTTAAGAAATATCTTCTAGATAGGTGCTAAAGTTTGTAAAATCATTCTATGAGGTTTCCTTTTGAATATAAGTTTGTAAAAAGTGTAAATAAGTATCCTGATATTTATGCTACTTGTAAACATGTTGAATGTAAGTTTGTAAAAAGTATAAATGTTGAGTGTTAAAAAGTGTAAATGTTGAATCTAAGTTTGTAAAAAGTGTAATGTTGAATGTAAGTTTGTAAAAAGTGTATAGTGATGTTCATACTAGAAATGTTTTTATTATTCCTTACCTTCAGATATATTTGAACACCTTTTATGATAGCTTAAAATATAATTTTGTGGTCCCAGTGACTCCTGGAAAACTTAAGTGAAGGTGTCATAATTAGGGGAGCTTTTCTGTCTTCTTCTTCAAAGTTTCTACTTCTCTGTTTCTGTTTAGAAAGGGGTAGGCCTCCCTCAAAGGGGTAGGCCTCCCACAATCCAGTTAGTTTGTACAGAAATTCTACTGCTGTGGTAGGAACACATATGAGCAACTTAAACAGCTAAAAGTGTCTTTATAATTAGCATGGGTTTTTGTTTACTTGAGTGGATGCTTTGAAGTGTTTTGAAATGACTGTTTTCTCCTGGGAATCAAAATAGTCTCTTGAAAATTTTATTGAACATCTGTTAGGAGAGAGTTTTGATTTAGAAAAATGCTTGGTGCAGCTAAGACTGCTGTAGTCATCTTAGACCAATTCTAAAAAGGATATTCCATCTTTATTATCCTCTACTCCTTTCCTGTGAGGTGTGGCAGCTATGGATATCATTGTGGATGTTTGCAAGCTCTTAGCAGGGACCTCTGTCAGAGCTGAGTTAAACTTTGTACCCCCTCCTGCCAGAGGCTGGTAGCCAAAGCCGGGCAACTTTCTTCTTGATATCTTCCAACCTAAGCCAGAGTATACTTGATGGAAAGTGTATCTCCATGACGGGTAAGGAAGATTATTCAAGAAGGACGACCTAAGGACAGGCACAGTCTATCTGAGGGGCCTGGGGGACCACTTATTATATCAAGAAGGGAGAGTTGTAGAGGCCCACAAAGGTTTCCTGGTGAGATCTGAGTTTGCTTTACCCAGCAAAGCTGCATTAGAGAATTGCTTGAACACGTGTGGTTACCAGGTAATTGGAAGGGTCTTCACTTGGCTGAGCTAGGGGGAGGTCTTTTGTTCCACCCCTTGGCATTCCTATAAAAGGCCCTTTAGAAGATACAGGAGGAGTTGGTGGATATTGATCCAGGTTCTCCCAAAGTTATCCTGTGTTTCTGTTTCTCTTCCCTCTATCTTTCTACTTAATATCTCTTATTCCTCTCTCCTCAAGAGTACCCTGGGGAAAAAGCAGGGGTGGGTTCCCCCACACATGTACTTGTAACACTTTCCCCAATGATACTGTATTGGAATGTTTTTGTAGAGTAAAACTGGAGGTGACATGGGTAAGATTGAAGAGAAATATATGCTTCTAAATCTTTTAATTTTTTAAGGAATTAAAATATAGTAAAAAAAATACATTACTTACTAATTCCTTTTTTATAGATATGTCTCTCCTTAGATTATCTTTTCTCATCTTTATGTCTCACCTTTTAAAAAGCTTTCTGATTTTTAGTAGGGAAATAAAATTTCAGATGTTGTTAATTTATATTTTAATTCTTATTTATATATATAAGTGTTTTGCCTGAATGTATATGTTTGTGCACCAGGTATGTGCCTGTTGCCTATTGGATCCCGTGGAACTGGAGTTACAAAAGGTTGTGTGAGTTTCCACGCAGGTGCTGGGAACTGAAACCCAGTCCTCTGGAAGAGCAGTAGGTGCTCTGACCTGCTGAACCATCTCTCTAGCCCAAGATGTTGTTAATTTAAAAGTTCCTGTTAAGGGTGGGAGAGATGACTGACTAGTGGTTAGAGTGCTTCCTGCTCATCTAGAGAACTTGAGTTCAGTTCCCAGCACCATGTCCAACAGCATTTTAGAATTTTGTGACCTGTATGTATTGCTAGCCCATCTTCTTTACCTGAACTTTAGCTGAAATTATCTTGTAGCAATATAAAACCAGAATGCAGGTGTGTCCTCCTTGATTAGACAGTTGACTGAGTGCTGCACCTTGGGGCCACAGTGTTTTAAATTCAATTTTGATTTTTTTTTGGCGTGTGTGTGTGTGTGTGTGTGTGTGTGTGTGTGTGTGTGTGTACACAAACTAGATAAGGAAACATTTAGTTTTCTTGGGAAAAGACAATATTGAAAAGTGTCTTAGGGTTTTATTACTGTGAAGAGACACCATGACCACTGCAACTCTTATAAAGGAAAACGTTTAACTGGGGCTCACTTACAGTTTCAAGGTTCAGTTCATTATTGTCATGGTGGGAAGTATGGTGACATGTAGACAGACATGGTTCTGAAGATGGAGCTGAGTTCTACATCTGGATCAGAAGGCAGCAGGAAGAGAGTATGACACTGGGCCTGGCTTGAGCATCTGAAACCTCAAAGCCTGCTCCCAGTGACACACTTTCTCCAAGGCCACACCTACTCCAACAAGGCCGCACCTGCAATAATGCCACTCCCTATGAGTCTATGGGGGCCATTTTCATTCAAACCAACATAGGAAGTGTAGGCAGCATCTAGATTCTGACAGGTATTTAAATCAAATAATATTTCAACATTAATGCCTTCTAATTTTCTTCCAAACTTTAAAATATATAGTATGTTTGATTTTAACACTGTAGGTCTTTTCCTAAGCTTTTAGAGTCTTTGTATAATCTGGTTTGTCTTTTTAAAATTAGGCTGTCATTTGTCGATGTAGTCAACCATTGTCAGGCTTCAGTGCCAGGTGCCTGGAGGATGAGAAGTTGCTTAAAGCCATTAGTACAGCCAACTCAGGAAACAACTACATGTATGTTGTGGATACCAGGCCCAAGGTATGTATCCAAGTACCCTGCAGTCTGTTAAATTAATTGTTTATGTCTTTAATTGATGGGAATAAATATATTTGCCCATATATAACATACCTCAATTGTAGTTTTAAGTTAGCAAAGGCTAATGTTATGAAGAAAATCAATCCTCTGAGGGATACTAATTAGGCGACCAGTTCTCAGTCCTCTACTCTAGGCCATGATTTCTTCTGTCTCCTGATATAAAACATATCGATATACACACATATGGAACTCTTTTGTTTGTTTGTTTTTGTTTTTTAATGACAGGGTCTCACTATGTAACTCAGGCTAGCCTAGAACTCACAGAATCCTCCTGCCTCTCCCTCCCAAGTGCTGGGATTAAAGATGTGTGCCACCATGCCCTGCCACATTTGGAACTCTTAAAGATGTATTAAGTCTTGTTTTAATACTCTCTCCAAAGTTTTCCTTCCTTTTTTTTTTTTTTTTTTGAAAGAAGACAGGGTTTCTCTGTGTAGCTTTGCGCCTTTCCTGGAACTCACTCTGTAGCCCAGGCTGGCCTCGAACTCACAGAGATCCGCCTGGTTCTGCCTCCCGTGTGCTGGGATTAAAGGCGTGTGCCACCACCGGCGGCTTGAGACAAGCTCTTATGTAGCATTTGTACGAAGTAGCTAAGGATCCTGGTTGTTGTGCCTCTACCTCCCAAATACTAGAATTATAGGCATGCACCACAATACCCAGCTTATCACTCTCTTTGTTACTAGAACTGTTAATTGACAAAACACTTGGTGTTAAAATAATTTGGCCATAATTTGAAAGATTAAAACCTAGAGGAAACAATTATTTAATGTAGGAAACACTGAACTAGAGAACTGTAATGAACAGGAAATTGCCGTTATCTTGGTGTCTATGGTACAAGGCTAAATTCTTATCATTGAGACTGAATCAGAATCTGTGCTTCTTTTTATGTGCACGGTAGAGAGCTGATTCACATAGGACCCTGAAATTAGAGTAATTACAATCTTGAGCGGTGACAGCTAACTTTATTTTGATTTCTGTTATAGCATCGCATGCAGAGCTGGTGGGATACACAAAAGGACATTGGCAGAATTATAGTGAGGATTTCTTCAAAAATCTGGAATGATGAGAAAATAAGAGAGAGCGATGAGAAAAAGCGAGTGAGCACTATAGAATACAAGCGACTTTAGGCAGCATTGTGAAAGGGACATAGTGTCTTAGTGTGAGTCTCCATCACTGTGCAACCTCACAAAAGACAAATGGAAAATACAGAAGATGAGGATAACTCAATTAAATTAGAAAGTATTAATATTAGAAGTTGCTATTAATAATCTTTTGTTAAATATAAAAGGCTTTCTCAGGACTCAGGAGTTGGTAATGTCTCATAAAAAAAAAAAAAAATGTGTTCCCTTGTTACTGGAGGCCTGTAATCTAATGATTCTTTTTAGGTGATGTTAAATATAAAAGGTGATTATAGTATTTAATATAGTATTTATAGTATATACGTTTTGAGGATTAAATCTGACTGATTTGTAGCTCAAGACCTAATAGTTTTTATTTATATAATTGTCATTGATACAGAAAATACTGATTTTTTTTTTACTTGCTTTTCTAAGTTTAAAATTAAGTGGTGATGATATGGAAGCATTTTAAATTTTACTTCAGTCATCATAGATGCTGGTAACTATTGAGTCAGTGGGTATAATTCACCTGTACTTATTACCAGCCCCAGGCCCATTCACTTAATGAAAAGTTATTTTCACCTGATTTAGGTCATTTTCTTCATCCATACTCGTATGAAAAGAATAGTAATTATAGTAACAGATTGTGTGAAAGAAGCCAGCAAGCCGAATCCTAAGGGTGTCTCTGATCAGTCAACAGTCTGTTTTTCCTCTGGAGAGCAGTTTCTCTTAGGCATGATTTTTGGAGCCGTGCCAGGCTGGTGGCTGATGCTGTACACAAGACAGCTGTAGTGCAGTGCTGAGTCTCCACGTGCAAGCTCCGTGGCATAGAGCCGCAGTTCACATCTGGCTCTCAGGGCACCTGTGGTTCTGATCTCACAGTCTATTTCTGCAAACTGAGCTCTCTAGCTCTACCTATCTCCAAATCCAGATTTAGATAGGAAACATTCCTTTCTTTTTAAGTTTGAGTTGTTACAGAAATGTGGAAAGCTGGTGAGAATGTAGATGAATGATCTTGAATTTTCGAGTCTGGTGGACTAGACTGTCTTCTGTGTGACAGCCACATTTCCCCGCACACTGCCCTTCTTCACTGCTGGTGATGTGGCAGTTTTGCTTGTTAAAAAATAGTAGCTTATTCAATTTTGATGAGTTTATTTAAATGCTCTCCTGCCTATGAAGTGTGACTTACTGTTTTTATGGCATTTTGGTAAACTAAAGATAAAAATAATTTGATTGTAAATTTCTAAAATTTTGAATTTTAGCTGAATGCAATGGCTAACAGAGCAGCCGGAAAAGGTTATGAAAATGAAGACAACTATTCTAATATTAGATTTCAGTTTGTTGGAATAGAAAATATTCATGTCATGAGATCCAGCCTTCAGAAATTACTAGAAGGTATGATTATTGTACACCTTTTAGAAAGCTTTGTGAGATAGAGATATAGGAATAGTCACGTAGGCTTTGAATGTTCTGTCAGTCACACTCAAAAAGTAAAGAGAATGTGGGATTGATGTTGATAATATACTTAATATAGTAAAAGCATTATTTTTAGCATGTAGTGAGTATAAAAACTGACAGACTAGCCTTTCTACTTCCCTCCCCCTCCCTCTTCTTCCTTCCCTCTCCTTCCCTCTCTCCCTCCCTCCCTCCTTCCCTCCCTCCCTCTCTCTCTCTCATACACTCAGTTGCTTACTCATATCGTTTGAGAAGGGTTTCATTTAATCCAAGGTATCCTTGAGCTAACTCTGTAGCCAAGGCTTGCCTTGCGATCCCGATCCTCTTGTTTCAGCTTCTCGGGTGTTGGGATTACAGGTGTGCACAACCACATCCTGTGAGACCTTTTATTGTCATCAACTCTTAGAAAGCAATAGTGTTTCTATACTTAGATCTCACTTCGGCCTAGCCACATTTCAAGGCTCAGTAGCTTCATTTTGGGTGGGAGCTGCTCTATCTGAACAGCTGTAATGGTTTACAGGTCACTGTTGTTAGAGATCTTTGAATAGTCAGTATATTCTAGTCATGATGTCATTAAAAACTTAAAATATGAAATAGTCAAACATTTGCACTACCTTTTAAAAGGCAATCAAACATTTCTTTTAAGCCCAAGGAAGGACAAAAAAGGCCCCCAAAGTATTACTCAGCCTCTAATAGCACATTTTTTAAATTAATTAATTAATTAATTTATTTTATTTTTGCACATTTTATTTATATGCACTTTTTCCAGTTCACTCCTGAAAAGATGAATGAGAACTCTCGCCCATTCTAACTGAAACCCTTCTTCCCTGTTTCCCAGTGAATGGCAACAAGGGGCTGTCTGTCAACGACTTCTACTCTGGTTTGGAGAACTCAGGATGGCTTCGCCATATCAAGGCTGTTTTGGATGCTGCAATCTTCTTAGCTAAGGTAATCATTTCTCATTGGTTTGGGGTTGGTAACTTTGGGAAGGAATGCTTTTAGCCTTGGTACAGATGTCTGTTCTGCTCAAACAACCTTTGCTCTTCTTTACCTCTTTAATGGAGTTCACTTCAGTTTGAAGTGGTACCTAATATGGAGATTTACAATTACCAAGTACTTAGAAACAACTGTTTTGTTTGCTTGCTTTGTTTCTGTTGTTTGTTGTTTTAATTGCCGTGGCAACAGTGTTATTGCAGAGCAAGCTCTTCTTTATAGTGTGTATCTTCTAGTGTGGGTTTTGGTATGCAACCTTATTGATTTATGAACAGTGTGTTTTACGGGAATCTGAGTATGTCATTTTTTCCCCCAGGCAATAGTGGTGGAAAATGCAAGTGTGCTGGTGCACTGTTCGGATGGGTGGGACAGGACTTCCCAAGTCTGTTCCCTTGGTTCGCTTTTGTTGGATCCCTACTACAGGACAATGGAAGGATTCATGGTAAGGATTTATTCCATTGGACACAGTGATTCTTCTGTCCAGGGGATGCTTGGCAATATTCAAAGACAGTTTTATACTAAGGTCATGTTGCTGGTGGATTCTGCTAAGCAGGTGACCCTGCATAGGACAGTTCTTGTTAAAGATTCTGGGGCCCTTGATGTCAGTGCTTCTGAGGCAGAGGACCTGCAGTTAGACCGAACTCCATTTGTGCCACAGTTTTTGGCAAAATATTTCAGATCTAGAAGTTGACACCCCACCACCACTGCCCTAAAGCGTTACCAACAGAATTGTTGAGATTTTCTCCCACATCTTTATCTAATGAACGTATTGTGTAAAACACAGTACTGAACTTTAAGTCATGTTGAGGCAGTGTTCATTTATCGCACTGATGGTAAGTGAAACATTGTGGTGTCATTTCTGTCTGTAAAACCAAATTTCTAGTTGAACTGGTTTCCTACTAGGCAGGATTTTATCTTCTGTTTATTTTGTTTTGTATTTGATTAGATTAACTTCCAAATTTTACATGGTAAGCCAGGTATATTAAGCTGAGTCTGCAAGCCTAGCATTTGGGAGGTGAAGACAAGAGAGTCAGGAATTTAAGGTCATCCTTTACTATATTATCAGTTTGAGACCAGCCTGAGCTTCATGAAACTCTGTCTAAAAATAAAAAAAATTTACATAGAAATACATGGTGAGTGCATGAAGAGATATTAGAGATTTTTAAGCTTTTAATTATTAAACAGTGTCCTTGTGACAAGGGTCAGCACCATTATTTGGCTCTATTCTCATACTAAATCAAATGGAAATAACAACAAACTAAATAGAAATAAAAAATCTATAGGAAAATGGTGCTAATAAAAAATAACATTAAGCTTACTTTGCGAATATAAGTGAGGAATGTTATTCTTAGCTCCTTTGCTAGGCATTTGGATAAGCTGTGTATGAAATGATCAGGAGCACAGCAGAGCCCCTTTAGTAACATGGGTGATACATGAGGGAGGTGAGAGTAAGCTTGGTGCACAGCAATTGTAGGGTGAGAGCCTGAGGAAGAGGATGCTGGGATGTGTACTTTCCCCTCTGGGCCATGAGAGCCATTTAGTAATACATAAAGAGCAAGCAGTAGCTTGATGAGAGATGCTCTGTAAAAGTTACCTTGGCACCTTGAAGTCAGGAGGGGGTGGGACGGAGGCTCAGGGTCCAGTATAGCGACTGTTGGGCCAGTTGAAGAGGGGGGACTAGAAGGAAGGCAGCAGAGCACTCACAAGTAGACAGAGGTGATGGGTTCACGGGACAGTGGCAAAGGAGGACCAGTGCAGACCAGTTATGCACTGAATGGGAGTGGAGGACAGGAGCCCTCACCTAGGTTTCCAGGCTGCTGGGTCAGTGTCTGGTGCTTCCTGCTCTTCTCTGAGCTAAGGTTGGAGCAAGCTCAAGAGAATACTAAGTTAGGATGGATAGAATGATGGAGGCCCACCCACAGTCACAGGGTAGAGGACACAAAGCCACCCGTGATAGAGCCTGTAAATGTGCTCAAGAAACTGCACTCTTGACCAGTTTGCTATGTTAAATGGATTTAACATTGGAGATGCCAAAAAAGATGACCATCTTGTCAAAGAAGGCGCTTGGTGACCGTGGGAGGAGGTTATCAGGTGTGCCAAGCACTAAGAAGGTACTCCAGATCTGACTGGGAACATTAGAGATCTGTTCTCACTGGCTGTGGGGGTGCATGCCTTTAGTCCCTGCACTTGGGAAGTTCAGACAAGAAGATGGGGTGACCAGGCCAACCTGGGTTTCATATTGAGAAGCTGATTCAAACAAAGAGAAAAGGAAAAGAAAAGAAAGATTTTGCTCATTTTGGTGGAGTTGGGCAGTAGAGAATCCATGACATGAAAACTCAACTGTGTAGTTCAGTCTGAGGCATGACGTCAGCGTTGGGATTTGAATAAAAGCTGTCCCTTTTATTGACTTTGTTTTGTTTCCCAAGAGACAGAGTCTTGCTTATCATTTTTCTTATGTTTTATGTAAACAATGTACAAGTAAGCCAAATGGTTTAAAACACCCCCCACCCCGAACTACCCAGAGTTGGCCATTATTAACATTTTAATTTACTTTTTCCTAGTTCCCCTCTCCCACTCCAAACTCTATTTGAGGACAGGGTTTCCCTATGAAGCCCTGTCTGGTCTCGAACTCTCTATTCTCCTGCTTGAGCCTCTGAATGCTGGATTACAGCTGGCTTTCCCTGGCCTTTTGGGTGTCATTTTTCTATGTACAGAAATGTAATTCTGCCTTACCAGGTGTGCTCCTAATAAGCGCAGCAGGAACAGTTTGTCTAGGACCACTTGTATGTTTTCACTCTTCAGTAACCCTCACTCCAGTCTAGGTCCGGGCTATCTTTTTACCTGTAGTATGTTTATATTTTTATTTCTGATCTTAGCAGAATTGTCACAACATTTTTTTTTTAAGTTGAAAATAGTTATATAGTTGGTTTTGCTTTTTCTCACTAGGTTTTAATAGAAAAAGATTGGATATCGTTTGGGCATAAATTTTCAGAGAGGTGAGTGGCAATCCATCTTTGCAAAAATGTACCACTGTGTTCTGTTCTTGGGAGTTGGCACATCTCTGTGGCGTGAGCGCTGGAGCTATGAATTGTAGGAGCCAGACCTAACGTCTCCGTTAGCTTTTTCTTGTCCTGCCTCTGTTAGTTCTCGTGGCCATTGAGGTTTTTCGGAGAAAGAGACAGTCTGGTGATAGGGCTGGCCTTGAACTTCTGGTCCTGCAGAGGCTAGAGATGTGCAGTAAATGATGGCTACAAATGGACTTTAATATGTCTGAATTACATATGTAACACGTGTGTGTACTAGTTTTGTATGTTTAAGTTTACAGTACCTAAGCAGTGAACTTCTTTCAGAGGCATTTTTAAAAGCATGTGCTTTCTGGGGGGGGCTAGGTGTGGCCATCTGGACGGTGACCCAAAGGAAGTCTCACCGGTGTTTACTCAGTTCTTGGAGTGTGTGTGGCATCTGACAGAGCAGTTCCCACAAGCCTTTGAGTTCAACGAAGCGTTCCTTCTTCAGATCCATGAGCATGTGCATTCGTGCCAGTTCGGGAACTTCCTCGGGAACTGCCAGAAGGAGAGAGAGGAGCTCAAGTAAGTGGATGACAGAAGAGGGCCTCTTCCCCCGACCCCCAGACCACCCAAGTCAGCCGCCATAAGTCATGGCTGCACAATGAAGTGCCTGGACACTTTCAAATAGAGCTGAATTTTACTCCAGAGTTTATTGTCTGTAGTTTTGAAGCTTAAGTACTCTACTAATGTCTGCCACCATCCCTGGTAATAGTAAAAATGCATTTTGAAATATACTTTGAAGTATAATCGTATCCAGAAAAGTACATGTAGGATATGTAGCCAGCTCAGTAAATCTCACTACTACATGTGCGC